TGGCCACGAATGAACCCACATCGGCACTAGTACTGCAATTGGTGCCTCTTCTGCTGTTAGAAACTCCCCGCGGGTATGATGATTTGGGGATTATTGGAAATCCACAAGTATTATACCACTAACCTTCAAATACCTTTTGCTCTCAGAGCGCTTGTCCTTGGGCTCACGAATCGATGTATCCCCACTTTTCGCGATTGCTTAAACACCATCAAAGAGAAAAGTGTAGTTCAGCATGAGGCTTCCTGCAAGGGATTTTGCAAATTGTAAGCAGTGGTTAACAATGTAAATGCTTTGGATTTCAGCCACGATTCATGAGCACAGATACCATCAGCAAATGTAAAGCTTGCATGTCCATTGGATTTTTTCCTTCTACTCTATTATTCGTTTTGCTTATTAACATAAATTATCTGAAACTCAGATGGAAACCCCGTGTGACCGATCAATTTTGCTATCCACCAGATTTCTGATCCAAAGATAGCATCTTTTTTTGGAAAGGTTACCTGCATCGATAGACTGAAAAGCGCTGGTTTGGTTTAATTCAAATAGAATTATTAGAGTGCCCAGCAATACCATGCAGGATCAGACTAGGTTTTAACTGAGTTTGGTCCTTTTTTGTACCAGTTTACTCTTTTTGTTCTGTCAGGTTTGTTGCGTTAGCGACTTCCCTCTTCGAGCATCGTGCGTAGAGGTCAGCGCGAAAGGTATTTTAATGTGCGTTGTTGAAGTTATTAGAATAATAGTGGCATAGAAATGCGTATGCGTGTGCGCATACACTTGCGTAACGTTACCTCAATTAAAATACACATTTTTGAGGTGATTAGTGACTTTTTCTCACAATATAAAGTGCTCTTAACGTGGAAATCCCGCTTTAATTGCCTCACATTATTGATTTTCTCCTCAAGTCGCAAATGGCTTTTATCACGCTGTACGTTATGGTTAAGTATCGTTTTAAATAATTTGATTGCTGCTTTGCGTAGGCTGAAAATAGTTGCACAGTTGCAATTCACATTTACTTTTTAATGAGAGACCACTGAAAAGATTTTAAATTTGATTGTTCAAGTTCACCTGTTGTTAACTTGTGCTCTTCAAAGGTAAATTGAAACGGGCTGCAACTAATGTGCATCATGACCTATTAATGATTCCAGATTGTACTAGGGGCTACATGAATTACTAGGATGTGTAGGACCATTAACCAGGTCAGTTTTTGTCAGTCTGTGACATTGACTAGACTATGGGAAAACACATAAAAGTGCTTTTGTTCACTGGGAGAGTCTATGAAGGAAAGTATTAGTTCAGAGAGGTCGAACTTGTGAGCGCAAACGTTGGGATTCCTGGTTAGCGAAGATTTGTTCACAGAAAATATTTTGATGAAATGATAGGGGGAATGCAAACCTCACTACATTGAGCTTAGCATCGAGTTATGAAGGCCTTTTGAGAAACAGGCGGTGCATACACGAAGAAACGAAGTCTTAAACACCTGCGCGCTACACAAAATATCGTGGATCTACGAAGGGGTATTTGATGGGACAGAGAGGATAACCCACTTATTTGAGCGATACAAAATCTGTAGTTTTGTTCACGTGCGTCTCTTAAATGGGTGATCTAGGCAGTTCGAATTATTCATTAAAAGAGCTAAAAGGCATAGTTTGACTGTCTGGTTAGATAAAATGACTTTTTTTCTGCTCACTGTTTCACGGATGGACGGGGATCCAAAAACACTTTTGCTTCCTAGTTTGGCCGATTTTAGCGAAACGGCAGCAAGCACGGGATCACCCGTGTATTTTCGCCACATGTATACAGCGCATACTGTAAACACCAAGTTTCGCTCAAAAGATTTCACCAATGTAAAATGCTTTCGATAGACTACCGTTGGGACATAGTTCTTCAGAATCATTAAAATGAAATAAGCCCTCAAAGCCAAATCTTTTGTAAAAAAATACGATGCCGACAACTACTGGTTAAAAACTGCATCACGTTAAGCAAATCAACCACCGACAAAAGAACATTACGCGTCCGATGTTGGATGGTGATCACCACCATTTGCTCAGGTATCAATCTGATTGCCCTACCGTTAGATCCCATTGAAACATGTTAGATGCTGAAAATTTGGTAAACATGCTACTCACACACTTTAAACTACTGACTATGGTGCTAAAATTAATATGAAACGAAAATCATGTACTTGAGCGGGGGCAGCAGCTAGACCTTGCCAACGCAAAGGTCATAATTCAGTAGCGCACGTACGCACATGCGATTTGCATCACGTCGGCCATGCTGGAGAGAAGTACAGACATGCCAAGGACTCTGCGTGTACACACACACATACGCGTGTACGTGAGTCAAAGGTCGGGTTAACCAACGAGAGCGGGTCATGTGAATGCACGTGCGCACTTACGGCACGCACGTACGCACAAGCCTTCACAAGTCAAAGGTCGGTGCGCGCGTGCGCACATAGGAGCGTGCACGTCGCAATAACGCACGCGCGCAACGCACACAATCGCAAGGGCTTGCGCGCGGGGTAGGACAAGGTCAGTGCGCTTAGGCACGCACGCCTGTTTTGTCTCTCACATACGCGCCCTCTTTCTCGTGTGCGCTCTTTGGCATTTACCTCCCGACTTGGCTTATGTTCGGTCGTCTGCCTGTCTGCTGCCTCGTACGTGGGCCGTTTTGTACGCGCTGAAAACCACGACGACGGGAGTGGTAAGTGTAGCTACACCAAGCGGCTGATCAACTTTAACCTCATTGAAACTGATATGCAGTTTTTGTTTACATTTGATGCAAACTTTCGTTAATTATATTATACAATTAATCGAAATGCGTCAGCTGTCCTTGACCCTGGGTTGCTGCAATGAGTTTTTTTACACCACTCACCGTTCCAACGCCTTCCTTTGTATGCGAAATAGCGAATTCCTTGGTTTTCATTCTAGGCACTATCCCATAAAATGCTTCCCGCTTGTTTACCATGAGCACTATGCCTTCTAATTGCTTTATAGAAGCGTAGACAGTGACTATCGGGGGTTGCGCAATCTTGTGCTTCTGATTTTCTTCCTATCGCTACAGAGTTGGTGGTGTGAGGGGGCAGGTCCACGTTGGCGATGTTGACTTTGTTCGCAAGAGGCTCTACGATTCGACCTGAACCTAGCACCTGTCGCCAGAACTGCATTCGAGTCACCTTGTGGGGCTTGATATGCATAACAGGGATCCTCTTTGTGCCCTCTTGCCAAAATGACTGAATGTCGGGTCAAGGGAGTTGGCGCGTGAGCTGTTAAAAGCATTAATTTCTCGTTTGTTCAAATAGAGCGAACTAGCCTAAGCCAAGTTATCATAGTGTATGTTTACCTTGCCCGGAAATTGCCTCTAGAATTATGCTGGTAACAATGTGTGTTAGTAAATGCTAATTGGTTTATAAGAAGTAATTAATGCATGCTTATAAATGCTCTTCGGTCTTTAAGCTGCCTTTTAGCAGCTACATCCTGGTCATCGTAACACCCATTCAGTGAATTAAATGCAGGTATTTCCGGGGTCATATGACCAGCCGAATACTTCGTCCAGACAGGATGTTTACCTAACCACAAGTTGTGATGTTGAGGTGGGCACTTGACCTCTGGTGTTTGAGGTCAGTGGACCCGAGCGAGTCAATTTGTCAAACTCGAACGATGACTCAGTGGAGGAGAGTCAGCACTGTCTTCCACAAATGTAGAACCAATGCGCGAAAATGCACAGGTCAGGCGTGTGCATGTGTGCTTGTCGATTCTGTTTGCTCTGTTCCAATTGGCTGGCTTGTATTGCTATTTCCACGCCATAGATACTTAGCCAAATTACTGGCCAGAGGTTGTCTGTGAGACATATGCTCTTACTAATTTTCTATCAAAGGCGCTCATTTTGCCCTGGCTGAGGCCGACGAGATAAGTGGGTTCGGGTTTTCCATATCTAGTACGACAATTTAATAACGTGCTGACTGCACGCAGGAAAAGTGCGTAATTCGTTGAGTTGCTCTTTTGCATAACGTGCATTTAGGTTTACATTTTCTTTAGTCGAATGGGGCTGCCCTCCCAATTTATCTACAGACTACCGGTCAAAAACAGACAAGCAGCCTGAATGTATGGTCTGACTAAATAGTTTCAAGTCTGACCGAGTATGCACTCCCTGCTCATAGTAGGCACCTGATCGACCTCAGTGCGCCACGTCTGGAGCTCATTTCTGACCTCGCCCATTGTCGAGGGCGTCCTGCCGGCAATGAGGTCGTTATCCGTTAATCACGGGACATGTGAAGCTTCTGATGAGGGTTGCAGGTTAACTCCTATGATGCATTTGGGTAGCAAAGGCGCACTCACGTGTGGATGTATGCGACTCAATCGAGCGTCACTCGCAATAGGTCCATCTTGCTTTACCACCCTGCTGGGAATTAAATCACACTGTAACTGCATCGTAGTTATCCAAACGTCTTGATCTAACTTCTAAAATTTTTTTAGATGTCATAGCCACTTGTGCGATTTGGGGGACCCCATTGTAGGTGATAGATCAAGTGGTAGGGACACGTGCTAATCCATTAAGCGATAAACACTAGATTTTTTGACCAAAAAAGAAACTTGTCTAACGATGTTTGTTTCCACAATTGGCGGTTGTTTTCATTGAGGTAAATCACCAATCATACACGACATTGGTGATTGTTGTGCTCAGATACCTTTCAAATCAGGAATAAATCGTTTCTACACAAAATCTTTATTGGACTTCAGGTCTTTTACATCAAACATGGTGAGCCAGCTTCTTCTGTTTTGTCTTCTGTCGTCAAATCAGAGGCGTGGCGTATTTAACAAATTTTGTACCATCTGTGAGAATACTGATGCTTCTTCGCGTTTGCTGGGTTATTTTAGTTGCTCATACACTTGCAAAACTCCTTGATTCGACCCTTGTTTGGATCGAAAAGTACTGACGTATTTTCCCATTTACACGTAGGTGAACAGCAGCATACTTCAGGAAAACTCCGAACTCCTGTTGGTATGCCCAGCGCCTCGGAGTCTAAAAAAAGCCAATCTAAAGTTCTTCCTTCAAGGATGAGTATTGAGGTTCAACAGTCGCCGTCCGCTGAAACTATTCCTTCGACACCATCCGCTGAGGTTAATAGCAGCCCGCAAGTCTTGGCCTCTTTGACCGAGAAACTGATGGAAGGCGGAGGGAATGGTGGAAAGGCAATTACTTCGGTCACAGATTGCTTCGCTGCACTTGCATCAAAATTGAACCAGTCAGACGCAACTAATTGTGCTGCCACTGTTCAGATGCCAGCTGAGCCAAAAATGTCCAACATTGATTTGTGCAAGCTCCTGGACACTTTGACCACAGGTCAGGTACCTCCGCATTCAACGGATAATGCTCATCTGCGGTCCCTTTTGGCGGGGTCTGCTGCCCCCGTCGTAAAACCGGAAGCTCCAACTTCCGCCGTGAGTAACGGTCAGCTGCTGCAACTCCTGAGAACCTCACTTGCAACATCGGGCGACACCTTGTCTGTTAACGGTGGCTGTCAGTTGTTGAGCATTCCATTCTCGCCACCGGCTCTACCGATCGCTGCAGCCACGCCAGCCGTTCCCCAAAGCGATCTTTACCTCCTCCTCCAGTCGGCTATCCTCCGACAAATGGTATGCTTGAAGTGGTTGACAGTCCATTTTGCTACTAAATGGACCATTTACTTAACTCATTCCTTAAGTAGCGCCTTATTTTTCAAAAGATGTTGGCGGTTTTTGTCACTGTAGAATATGCTCCAAGTTTGGCTATTATCAATGCCATCAATTCGTCATTCAGTCGTGGTTTCTGAAAAAAAAATGGGGTGGCAGAAAGGACCGGTGCGAATAGTTGTGTAAATTGACGTCCACGCGGCTAGGCGGCAGCTTCCGTGCACCTGTACATGAGGGATATCGTCTTCGTGGTTCGGTGGCGCGTTACTGGGCCGTTTCGACGGCTGTCGGTTCACTTCACGCTCGTGTTAATCCTATCTATGCACATATAACGTGTCGCCCCTTATCGATTGGAGGGTGCGAAAGTACATGCTTGTCATTACTTTCTCACCAAGCCCCATCTCTTTGCAGCGTGTCATTTTACCAGTTTGTTGCTTAAATTAGCTGGAAATGAGTGAGAATTGTTATATTTGTGTGAAATTGGCGTAAAACAACAATTAAATTAGAAATTCTCGTAAAAATATTTAAATTAAGTATGCGATTTCGCTAAATCGAGTTTTCTACCATGTTGGGTACCGCTGACATGATTCCACTCAGAGTTTTGATTCTAACGGTTTAGACTTTTGTAACAGCTTGATTTAGAAAAAACCCCACTCAAGCATTTTATGCACATAGTGTATGTACACGTAGTGTGTATCTGACAGACATCACATGCGCTTTCGTTCTACGACCTGATGTCTACTTGTTGTTTCGATTTAAACGCGTGACCTTGACACGACCAATGACGGCACAGTGTTTATTGCAGCGTTTTACCTCTTCAATCGGACTCGTGTTGACCTGATTGTGCGTGCGCCGAGTTTTAACTTCCGGTCATGAATATCTTCATCGCAAACGCATGGCAATTTGTTGATTATTTCATGGGATTCAGGACCTGGGGTAAATTCCCTGGTTTGTAGTACCAAGGCATGGATTCAATGACATTTAAGAAAAATGTGCTGTTTTGGTTTAAATTTATCTATGTGTATATATAAAACACGATCCGTATTGTTTCTTCCTGCACAGGTTGTTTTAATATATTTGGAAGAGTCAAATTACCTTACCGCGAAATTTGTCCAACTTTGCACGTCGGTAGGCATCTATTCGCTCCTCGTCTTCAGGTGGACTCTTCCTCAAATTCGTCGGGTTTTTGACCACTTACCAAATATTTTAGGCCTTGGAAGTTTCACCTAGGAATCGGAAGTGCTTTGTGTACATGACCTTCGTTCTTGTTTTTAATTAGCAGCAGCAACAAACCGCTATACTGGGTGGGACAATGGATCCCCAACCAACCGCCCCGAATTTCCACAGCACCGCCGCCCCGTTTCCTCCCGCTGCTGTCTACGGATTCCCCACGACCGCCGCCCAGTCTACTCCTTCTGTGGCCACTTCAGGCGATGGTTCTCTCGATGCGCTCATGTTGACAAGTCGTTTGCAGCAGACCATTGCCGCCTTAACTACTCCTGTGACTGGCGCCCCTCCTATTGCCCTCCTCAGCCTTGAGCCTGCCCCCTCTGCTCCCGTGGTGGCCATTACCTCACCTTCGAGTCAGGCGCACCCGACGAATCCTCCCTCAGCCGAGCACCTGATGGCAGCCCTGGGCATTTTGGGGCTGGGAAACAGTACAGCTGCCTCCAGTGCAAATAATGGCGTCGTCACAACAACTACAACGTCAGCACCAACCACCATTGTAAATGCGAATGAGCTGCTCAATCAACTTTACAATGTGAAACAGGACGAGTTGAAAAACACAGAACCTATTGTGAGTAAGGAGTCCAAACCGAATGCCGCTGTTGCGCCATCCAAATCTTCAACGCCGCCACAGACGGTGCTTGTGCCATCGCCTAATACTTCATCTGCCATCAGTCCAGCAACCTTCTCAGCTCGTGGCGCGAGGAACAGCGATGGAACTGTTGAACCGTGTCTCGTTTGTGGTGATGTTGCTTCAGGTAAAACATTTAGCATTAGACGCATTCACCTGAGGAATACGGGTTCCAAACCTCCTAGTGATCGAGTTGTTTGTTTATTAAATCCTTCCTTTAGTAAAAATCTAAGTTTTCACCCAGTATGTTGAGGCAACTCCCCGAGCTAATAGTTGAAACTCTTCGACACGTCGAAGGCTCCCCAAAATAAGAGATTAGTGCTTGTGCAAAGGACCAAAAGGTCGAGTACATGATGGGGCCAAAGCGGAAGTCGAGGCGGAATTTCGACAGATGCTCAGACGTGCCTACTTATGTATGTCTCATCGCTTGAGCAGCTACCGTTGGTGGTGATAGAGAAATTAATGGCGTTGAATGCCTCAACATGTGGGGAATAAGCTGTATAACAACTACCAGTACCTTCAGAATCGTTTATCACGATAGCATTCAGTGCTCTGATGAACGCTGTTGAATTCGATCAACTGTATCAACACGGTATTGTGCATTTGTCGAGCATTAGGACGTTCAGTATGCTGCCGTCACACATGAATGTTAAGTGAATGTAAACCATAAACTAAGCTAGAAATGTGTAGAATGAAGTGCACTTAAGAGGTCTAAGTGCGGTCCTTCTGGTAATTAGCTGTCACAAACCGCTTCAACTTCGCCAGTGGAACCCCACCTCTGCTGCTGCGGTAGTTATTATGACCTATACTCTGGTTTTTCAAATTTACTTACTTGATAGACGTGTGTGGCGCCAACTCCATCCGGTTAGATAGGTAGGGGGGGGGGGGACTGACGGCCCTCGATCGTTTAAGGCAGTTCCAACTTTCGAGCATGCCTGTAGTAAGAGTCCTGGGTAAGTGCCGTGGTGCGTAGCTGATTAGATTGAGACCACATGGATGTGCGCTAACGAATGGCATAACAAACAAGATTGACAACCGTGCTTCTAAATCAAATATATGGAGGTACATATAGCGAGAGGACTACTTTACCCATTATTGGTCTTCGCAGAGCGTGGCTACTTTTGAAGTACATCACCTAAACGTCACCTAAGAGGAGTGTGTCGAGGACACTTTGGAAAGTGAAAGTCAGTTTCCAGGGTTGTCGCGCATGAGTTTGACCCTTTTACGAATGCTTTCAGCACTTCAAAGTGTGCTTATCTGTGCAAATTGTACTGTAAACAATCAATGTAGGCTTCTGAACACTGGACAGGTGTGAGAAGTTCATCCAACCGTCATTGGTGCTTGCTTGTGCACAATCAGAAGCAAGACATTGAAAGGTCTCATCGTGTTAATTAATGAAAATTGAATTCCAATTTTGCAACATAAATCATCAAGGGCCATAATAAATTCCGTGAGTTATGGTGCACTTTCGGGTACTTGAAAATGAGTGGTATGCTTGTAGTTTCATTGTACTTCATTGTCACACCACTTGCCTCCCACTTGGGTTTACTACAAGAGGTAATTCAGAGCTGAGCAATGTGTTATTTAGCCATGGCCACGCATGCTCTCTTGGGGAATGCCTTACCTCTGCAGCATTTAAACAACCACTTTCTTGCTTCTCATATGCTACTGTCTTTGTATTCCACAGGTCGTCACTATGGTGTTATCTCGTGCGAGGGCTGCAAAGGTTTTTTCAAGCGTTCCATCCGTGGCCATGTGAACTACGTGTGTCGCAGCAACAAACACTGCGTTGTGAACAAGGCCTTCCGAAATCGGTGTCAGTACTGCCGGATGCAGAAGTGCCTGATGGTGGGCATGCGGTCGGAGGCGGTGCAGACAGAGCGACGACTGAGCACCTCAATGGTCTCCGCTTCCTCGTCGCCTTCTCTGGGGGCGGCAGTTGGGTCGGGCCAGTTCACGCGTCTCAAACTCGACTCCGACCAGCCACCGCTGCTGACGAGTTCGCACAACGATGACAGTGGCGGTGGGGTGGGTGTTGGTGGGGAAAAACAAGCCCAAACATCCTCATCTACGTCATCATCGCCCCTTCCACCAGTTCCACCAGTTTCCCCAGAGGGTCCACAAACAGACGCCGCGGACCTTAAGCCCGCACCCCCGCAAGTAGGCTTACATTCAAAATATCGTTAGTACCACTGACCTCACTTGTTTTATTTACTGCTGCTGCCGAATAATGCAAGCCGTTTCGAATATATTCCCATAAAAGGCATCATCTGCTGCATTTTTTTCTGTGGTCGGATACTGCCATACTTTTCCATAGCCCGATGTACGTTGATTTCGAATGCTTCAATCTGAGTGTTATGGCTTAACGGTACACACGAAGTCCCTCGTTCAGTACGTCAAAGGGCTTTCCTGAAAAAAGCGAGAGCTCATACAGGGAACTTTACTTTCTCAGCCGAAGGTCCGAGCACTAGTTGAGGTGAGCTATCAACAGTGGCTGATGAGTATTTAATTTAAACGGCGACATGACATAACTGTGGGGTGTAGTGGTCGTGTGGATAGAGCTGGGTAAACGGACGATCGAAATCTTCGTGTTAATTGATTTGCCCTGGAGAAAGAACGCTGACATCCCCAACACTGACACTTCAGGTTCCCTTACTCCCGAAGCCACCGGCACCCACCATCGGAACCCCTCCTCCAAACGTCACGTTAGCCGCGACCCAGCCGTCGCAACAGCAGGTCAATTTGAACGAAATCGCGGCAATTTTGGCAGCGCAACAGAGGGTCCTGCCCGCCGCTGTTGCGCCGATTCCAGTCTCAAGAAGTCCTGGCAACGTGAACACGATTTACAACGCTCTCCTTGCCTCCACCATGACCTCGCTTGCTTCGCGACTATCAGACGCCTCCTCGTCGCAAACAACCACCCAGACACTTCTGCCCCCACCACTACCCCCAGCAAACCGATCCACAAACCTTTTGAACCTTCTGCGTACGAAAGTGGATCCCGACCGGCCAGAAGTTCCGCCTCAAGCCGCTGTAACGTTCACTTCTGAGAATGGAGGCAGTGGAGGGGCATGTGCCGGGGGGGAGTCTGTGGCTTCAAGTGATTTCGGTGTGTTACTTCATCTACTCCTAATTTGTTTACACCCACTGGGTCATCATATTTTGAAAATATTATTGTCCGTGAGGTCCAAGGCGGTATTTTATCAATAGGTTTAGACTAGCCCTTCTAGTTATTGATATTGTTGGGGACAATTGTAGATGCATTTAATGCCAGAAGCACCAGTCTACTCAAGCTCACGTCAGTGCCACTTCCTTCATTTGGGCCCTCCATAAGCAGTCAATTACATTACTTGTCAATTGGATTTCAGTTTAGCCGAGTCCCCATTACTTTAAGGTAGGGCATTAGTGTCAAATCATCTGCTCCACGAGAAGCGTTATTTATTCCTAGAAATGACGGTTCTTCAACCTGCGACCACGAACCACACTGCTAACGTCATTGGGCAAATCAGCCTTCAATCACAGCAGCAACAGCCGCGGCCAAGCCCGGTCTCCAGCAATGCCTCTTCGTCCTCCTCTCGACCCACCAGCAGAAATTCTCGGAAGCGACGAAGCAACAGCAGCACGAGCAATGTGGCGTGCCGGAAACGACCCAGTTATGCACTAAATTCCCCAGGCGCCCCTGCGGCAGACTCCAATCCCTCCGCAGACCCGAATCCCCCCACTGAGAGCCCTCCTCTCAACGAGATGGCCTCTCGTGTTCTTCGGGTTACTGTGGATTGGTTGAGACGCTGTGGACCACTAGATCAGCTTCCGTACGTCACACGGATAAAGTTCTTTGGGGTTCTCAGCAATTATCTTGAACTCAGGCAGGGTTGGGCTGCCACCTAAGTCGGATTGAATGCCTCGCAAATTACATAGTAAACGGTATTTCTGGTACTAGAGATGTCCAGGTTTCATTTCATCAATACTTTTAAAATGCTGCGCACGAATCTGAAAATGGAATGGGGCTTCCCCTTGTCCACTATGACTTTAAGACACCACAGCGGACGTACATATTCACTGGTCCATGTACTTACTTTTATTCCTGATAAAAAATCCCAACTTACAAGAAGGCTTCAAAGGCCGTCGCCTCTCGTAATTGGTCAATTCGAGTTGTTACGATTATTTCTCCTCCTGTAAAATTAGATTGCGAATAGGTGGGCAAATCTTACGGAGGATAAATCCACTATGCGTTTTCAACTTAAGCCAAGCCTTTGCTAAAAGTTATGCGGGGTTATTAGGACAAGTGAGAAAGTGATGGTGGTGGTGAGGTGTGGCCTGTGGCTCTATTTTCTCAGGCCCATTAGCTCTGCAGTCTTCTTCTGGAAGTCAACTGGGGACCTTGATTGAGTTGTGGCTTTTTCGTCTCCGCGACACGCCGAAAAATCGCTTCATGTGGTGGTTTTGATAAGTTTTGTGTTTTCTGCCACGACTACCCATCAGGCGGCAGATCGCGAGAGGTTGCATCACATGTTTGACCTGTGTTTGCATGGATTTTCTTTGGGTCAACCGTCGAACTGTGTGTGTGCGTGTGTGCTGACCTCGTTTTGATGCGATTGCTCACTGACCTCTTGCACCCATGTGCCGGTTTTGGCTTGACCTCCAAGGTCAGCTCATATGTGCGCACGGCGACCTCATTCTAGCCACACATGTGCATTTTTGAATACCGGCTCTGGTAACTGGTTCACGCCGCACACGCCGTGGCTTGCGAAAACAGGCAAAAGCACCCCATTCGTACTCGAACCCTAACCTCGCGTCATGTTCGCTTCACAAGAATTTGGCCTGCCAAGCTAGTCCATTTTGCCAGATTATAGCCTCCCGGACATGGGGAAGTGAGTCACTTTCTTTCGAGTCATAACCCGCCGTGTTCATGGCCCGGTCGCTTTCAGGCCACGTGGTTTTTGCGCGCGATTAAGCTCCCGTTCAGTAGGCCTTATGGACTTGTCTCCACCCATCGGCCTAAATTGCAAGCAACCTGATGAGTATTTGGTTAGAGGGCAAGCTGACAATGTTGAATTTGACTTACTTCGTCATAATGGAGATGTTATTTTACCGTTTAACTTGACAATGCCACAGTCTGAAATACTTTACGCCCGACTGGACTAAAATCAAGGCTGTCATCATAAGCCTATCAAGGTGCTTGGAAAAGTCAAGTTTAGTAGCCACTCCAGCCCTCCTCCTAACACCCTCCTCACTCAAATGAACTCGGTCAAACTGAAGAAGAAGCCATTGACGCCTACAAGGAAAGCGATAAGTGTGCGCGCATGTGTTAGTCAAAAGCGTCTGCTTTAGTTAAGTTCGGGTGTTTGAGGTGCGTTCTGACCACCGTCGCGTCTCTCCACTCAAACGCCTGTAGAGCGTGAACCTCGAGTGCAGTCTTGTGCCGTGCGTGCGCGTGCATGTCAAAACAAAGACTCGGGTTGGAGGCGGTGGCGGGGGCGGGTGGTGAAGGTTGTACGCATCGTTTGTGGACGTACATACGGGTAGAGAGAGCGAGCGATGACGCAGTGTGTGTGTGTGTGTGCATGTACACATGACTAATGGCGTCTGGCGACGGAGTGCGCGTTTGTGTGTGTGGCGGGTGTGCCGCAAGCCGCCTGTGACCCACCCACACTCGTCTGCAACACACACACACACACACACACAGAGACATTGATTCGCGCCGGCAGCTCCAACTCGCGAGCGCAGGTCAGGCAGGGCTTCGTGGTGGCGCGCATCCGCTCCCAGAGAGCAAATTCCATGTTGCTCAAATCCACTCGGGGTTATGGCTCATACGTGACACAGGAAACTGCCTGGCCTGCTCGATTTCCAACTACACATACTTCATAAAATCTGGCATCTTTACGTATACCACGTAACTTCAACTAGACTGTTGCATGTGTCCACAAGGTCAAGTATACTGAAATTTAAATTGGGGCAACTTATGCTTAGTTCTGTTTAGAGACTCTAATATTTTCCACTACCTTCTTTGAGATATCATTTCTAATGACCTTTTAGTTCTGATGTCCAAAACGAGCTCATCTCCTTTTCGTGGGTGGACCTATTTCTGTTGGGTCTTTGTCAGATGTTCGGAAGAAGACTGAATACCCTGCGAGTGGAACTTTCCAGTCCTCGTCAGGATGCTACCAGTGGGAATGCTTGTTGTCCCATGAAGACTGACCTCAACTCGGTTATAGCTGACTTTAGCAGAGCGGAGGTAATAGCTGAGGAATACACGTACCTCCGGTACATGACTCTCTTTAATCCTGGTAATTTGCAGATACAAATTAGTTTTTACTGACAATAATTCAGTAGCATTACCAGTCTTTAAAATATCAACAGGAGGAATCAAGGCTCAGGACCCCACTGTTCTGGCTCGTGTTCGCGATATCGAGCAGAGAATTCAAACGGAGTTTGCGGTATTCCTTAGCAACAGCGCTTCACAAGCAGCAAACGGCGATGGGGGTCCGGGCAGTCAGAGGCTATCCGAGGTTCGGACCACCTCCCGGGGCCTCCGGCTGATGGGTCTGGTTTGCGGTCTTCGCCGAGTCACCAGCGCGGACATTGGCCGGATTTTCTTCCCAGGTATGACGCCACTGTCATTCTTATTGGCTAAAACCCACCCTTCGTAAAGCGCAGTACTAGGATTTTTAGTTGACATGTTGCGTCAGAATTCTCTAATTGATCATTCCCACAAAAAGTTGTGGCAGCGCTATCGGTCATGATGACTAGCCTGACACCTCCGAATACGATTCAAGCGAAATGCACTCCTATGTCTGTAATCCAGTTTTTGTGTAACCACAAAGCTGTTCCAAAGCATGCGCATCATTATTTATTCGTCGACTAAATGCGCCATTGACATAACAGTTTACATTTTAGATGTGCCATTGTTTGACAAAGTCATCGAGGACTTGTTGCAGTCGGGATGCAGCAAAAGTGCCACACACCCTCTGAACGCCACCACCCAGCCCCCTGCTCTCGAGCCCCCACAAACACCCAACACGCCCGGTCCACAGGGCCAGGATGTTGTAAACGAGGCGGCCGAGAGTCGCCCCGCTCCGAACCCCACGGAGGACGAGGTGAGTGAAGACGATCCTCCGTTGAAAATTGAAGAACCGCAATAACCTAACCAAGTCCAAAATATCTTTCCTTTGATGATCCCGCAGCGCCAATTCCATAGAACAGATGTTGTCTTTTCAATTGTGTAAATTTCTACTATTCCCAACCAGCTGCTCCAGCTGTGTGCCCACACAGAATAATGCCATATCAGATGCGTTTCCCCATCCGGACAAATAAGCGCCACCAAGTCGATACATCTCCGCTGCGCCCTCCGAATCCCTAACTTACTCCCTTCTATCCTTTTTTTCTGTATCTAGGTTAATATTCTCTGTATGTAATTATCAAGAGACAACAAAAAGAACGTGACATATTTTACTTGGTTTTGACAATTTTCCACTAAAATTAGTGAATGTGCAATGATGTGTTTATTAAATCAGAAGAAAAATAACTTGCACAAACAGCTATTCTGTGAAAAAATGCCAGAAGATGGTGCTTAGGCAGAGGTTATTCACCTCAATTACAAAAGTTAAATCAGGGGATCCGGGAGCCTGCTGTGATTATCAAAGGTCGTAGTGTCATCTGCTAATGTTCTTGTCGTAAGTTCTCACGCAGATCCAGCCCTAGCTCGTCCTTGGTGGCGGTGGCCGTGATGTCGAATATCTCCTTCATGGCGGCGTAAGACTGTTCCAGAAGGTTTCCGGCGTCGGCCGAAGTGAGGCCTTCAGTAGGGATTGGCGGAAGAACGTAGACACCATAGGCGGCTAAATGGGAGACAGCAGTGTAGGAGGGGGGGGGGGGATTTGTTGTGTCGTTGGTTGCACAGACGTTCTTTCCAGCAACTACGGAGGGTAAATCTGCCGACTGGATGCCAGCTCGTCAGATGCTTAACTCGAATCCCTCAGAAGTGGAAACCTTTTTTAAAACAAAGCCCTACCAGCCGATCGATGAATTCACCAGAGTTGCTCACTGTGGCTCGGGCAAAAGCGACTGCCTGGGAAAACCTGATTGGTCAGTCTCCCAGTAACCGCGGTGATAGGAAAGACGTGCCTTGTCCTATGAGGTGTTTACCTAGTTGAATGTTTAGGATCTACAACGCTGACATAGTTTTTCTCAGGTGCCACTTAAATCAGACTAATGTTGACTGCGAAGTGACAGTTTTTGCGTAAGCGATGTTATGGCAAACCTAGTATTCAGGAATGCTGGACGAAGTTTTAGCAAAGGAGGCATTTCCCGCTGCTCCTAGCTCCATCAACAAGGTTAAACACCGACTCAACGTTTACCTTCCCACTTACACCAGAAAATGTAAGGAGTGAAACGAAAGTTGAGGTTATTCGAGGGGTTGCACGATTTTTGGAGGCTAAAGTTGAACGGGTGAGTTTGCTGTGGACACTTCAGAAGCCAAAGGCGAGTTGAGTCGGTGAGGTCAAGGGTTTCATCAGGAGACAAGCGTGCATGTGAAAGCCCGTGAAGATAGAGATAAGGTAACACTATGAAACAATGTACTGAGTACTCTGCAGGCCCACATACGTAAGGGAATTGTCACTTCGCCGTGTGCTATTTCCTATGATATTCTTGTCGATTGGTCATGCTTTTTAAGAAGACCGATGGAGCGAACGTAGACAGCATATTCTGTAAGTCATTTCACTCGTTTTTTTCACTAACCTGTTTTTGTTGAAAATGACACGGCGCCTTGTCAAAAATAAACAAATCTCGTATCTGGTCAACCAAAGTAAACGCGTCCACGTTATGATGCGAGATACACCGTCTTGTTAATTTCACCATTTGTATTATTTTTAAAAGCTTGCTCGACTTGGATAAAAATTTTCAACCAACATAAGCGTGAAAATTAAGTCCCAAGGTATCTAGTGACAGAATCGCAGGTAATTTAGAATAAATCTTTTCTTTAGTGCAGCCAGGGATGTGTGAATCGCGTGAGGGACACCATTAGTGAACCAAATACAACTTTTGTACTATTCAACGTCTTCAGTAGGAACCGAAGGTACCCCCAGAAAGTACATCTTAGAAATGAAGAAGATCATTGGGGATTGAAGTGATGCACCTCCATCTCATTTACAGAATGCCACACAGCAGCTACCAAACTGAAGTGGAGGAAAGGGAGTTGTGCACTACAGGCGACTTGGAAAACAGGTTATACAGAGGAAGACACTGAACCAGGCAGACAGAAATGCTCAAAGAAGCAATCAAAGAAGTATTCGACCCGGTTGGTTGCCTATGAAATTTACGGGCCTTATAAGTACGGCATTAAGCCGAAATTGGTGCACAAAGCGCATGTCTGAAATCACCGGGACACACTTTTTCTTACATAGGTTTTTAATTATTGCTAATTAGTACTAAATAAACGAATAAGTCGGGTACCACCCAAACAAGTAAGGTGGCGGAAGTAATAACTGTCAATGCTACATTTCCATAACGTTAAATTACCCTAGTTCGATTGATAAAAAAATCTAAACAGTGCTCGTAAATTCACCCACCGATGTTTTTCCTCCCATGTTGTCATTTAAACGCAGAACCGTCTAGAATATTAATTTCGATTTCTAAATCAACTGTCTGCCGTGGCCCTGTGTATCAGTGTACCAAAACTCCTAAAACTAATTAGCCCAATTCTTACATTAAAAATAATAAAATTACAAAACACTTGCTATTTCTGATTCCGTATTTGTTGGGATAGTTCTGGAGAGTACAAACGTAGCATGCCTGTGTGGTAGGATTATAAAACAGGATGTCATTGGCCTCTTTAAAAAACTCGGAAATATCATCAACAGTAAGCTCATGTTTTAGACTACTCTTCGATTAAGAAGCCATATTTGATAGAGGAACGAATAAAATCAGGAGTAGTGCTTTCTCTAGCCTTTACAGATCGTCGCGAAAGTAGCAATTAAATGATACTACGCATAAAATTTCTTGAAAAAAACATACTTCTTTAGCCATTTTACGAGTTTAATTGATTGGATGGCCATGAAGTGTGGGTTTCCACTAATGTTTGCGCCTTGCAACGACACCATTGCCAGTTCTGAGTGCAAATGTAACGAGACCAGCTTTTCACACGATTCTACTAAAGTTATTGTGCACGTGATTTCTGCTCGCAAACCAGTATATGAAAGCACAGTCTGAAAATGTGTAATCACTAGACCAATAACTAAACTAGACAATTGTTCATCTTCTGCCAGACAATCACGGTCGCAGCATTGGTAAGACTATTTTCGAATCCAAAAGCACCAGATTTAAGAAAGCAAAATGATTGCTCGACTATGAAGGCAACTATAAGCAAGTATTTAATGACGCGTAATTTTTAGGACGCATGTTCGTTAAACTACTCATGGTTTTAAATTGCACGAACTTTGTTAATAATCGCCTCAATTAGGTATAGATCTCCAGCCAGGGAGAAGGGGTTAGGGTTCATAAAGTCCACCATATTTAGAAAAAAGGACCATTAAAATACGTCCACACATTGCTACAATACTGTTATGGAAGCACAAAAGGAATATTTGGGAAACTTCATGGCTAACTCAAATTCATAAATTTTTAACTGGATTTTGCACATGAAATATAGTAATTTGCAATTCAAACGACCAATGACAGGCCAAATTAACGCCACTAACGGTAATGTAAAGAGCTACTAAATTTACCACAGATAAATAAACCCAGAAAGCGTACGGGTGAGTGTTTTAAAAGTCGATGAAATAAATATCGGGTAGCCAGCAAAAAACGGATTTGAAAGAGAACCGAAGCCAAATTGTCGTTGACTATACTGAAAAGAGCAAAACTTAAACAAAGCAGGAAAACAAAGCAAATAAATGTGTACGTGTTTATTTAGTAGACGTGTAGATCGGACAACGAAGTCACTACGAAGCGACGAATCAGAACGTATAAACAAGATGGTGCCAACACCTTGACACTGGTAGAGATACATTCGTGCGATCTGTTGCCACCTCAAATTCTTCCCTCTAGAAATGCCATTCACGAAGCTGGCTGATACAATCCACAAATGATTCTCCACGGGTGTTTAACTATTTTTAAGCCATGCATGTTCCTGTCATGTGTCGCTAACAGATTTTAAAGTGCTCCGCCAGAAAACAAACTTGTTTTTCAATTCACTAAGTTCATCCACCATAGGTAGCGATGTAACAACTCTCGTGTCAACACAAGCAGACTCCATGTGTCAAAACGAAACCAGATAATCATGCACAAACTGTCAAATACCGTTTAAGAACTTTGCACAACGACACAAGGCACTGGAGCACAACGATAACAACTATCGCCTGCACAATTAAATCCATCGTTGGTTTATGATGCAGGGCGCTAGGATCATCCGGACGAGAGAACGTGTCAGTTGGTGCGCAGACCCCATCAGTACTAAGAAGGGTGGTCAGCAATTTGTTTTGCGTCCTGCAGCCGTGAAGGTCTAAGCTTGAATCTTAACATTAACAGGAGAAGTAGTTCTTCGCCACGGTCCTGGAGGTTATAATGACTTTGGACACAATTCAGTATAGGTAGGACCTTGAGGCGCGCTGACACAAACCCCTGCCTTTTTGACCATCGGTTTTATATTCTGTGTCCTGTGGTAGTAAATTTGTCAAGGGTTGCAGTGGTGGACGAGGTTGCAAATTTGACTATGGCTGCGGAGAAGTGAATGGTAAATGATTCTTAAATTCAACACCTTGGGGGTTTCGTTAGAATTGTCAGTCCCAATTTGACATGAAAACCGTAGAGTTATCGACTTCGAGATGCTTGGTTTCTGGTCTAAAGGATTCGTATCAAGTTGAATAATCGTAGATTCACATTCGCAGAATTAGTTGCATGAGAGTGATGAAGTAAATAGTAGTGTTTAGGCACCTCCAAAAGTATTACTTGTAAAAATTAAGGAACAGAAAAAGAAAACCACAAAATTTTTGAATTGTTGGTCTCCTGGTCGTTGATTTCTTTGAGGAGGATGGCAACAGAAGTAAGCCGATCAAAAACTAGGGGTAATCGTCCACATAAAGAAAATCAAGTCCAAGTTTAATCTGATTTTTTGCCAGAACGATCCAAAATTTCGAGAGGATAAACCATAAATCCGGGTGCACATTAACCCGAAGTAAATGCATATAATGCGTTTGAGTGAGCGATGACGCAGTTTAAGCAAAAAACACACAGTTTTAATGCCTATCGACTAAACCAAGCATTTTTCCAAACACAACTTAGGTCACATACACACACACACATATGCATAACCCATTTGAGTGAAATCAAGGCCTTGGTTTTAAAACGTGTTGAGTGAATAAATAAACACAATGAACCTGCAGCTAAGGTAGTTTAGAGTTCTATTACAGGAATAGCGGCGCCAACCCGGATGCGAGTGCATTGTGTATCTCAGGATGGTCAGAATTTGCGCAGAATTGCATTAGGAAGTTAAACTCGTGCCCCGAAATTTGTGATTGACAGCTAGCCTTGACGAATGCAGAACAAACATCGCCAGCCTTCCCTTTCCACACAATTTTACTGGCAGAATCAGCAATGCCTCACAATTTATTTCATGGCACTCACGTAACACAAACTTGGTGTGTACCAATTTCAGCTAAACTGCAGCACTGTGCCAACATTACCTCTCACGCAATAATTCTAGCAAATTATACTAGTTAGAGGATTACACAAATACTACATAAGTTACTTCATTCTGCAATTAGATTTGTTGACAACCAGTGGTCTTACCACTGCCCTGAAGGTGGACGTTCAGGTGAGAACCATTTCAATTTTGGTGACTATTTTTGTCGGGCAACAGGAAAACCTACGAGGGAATGCCTGATGGGTCCGTAGAATTAAAAACAACGCATGATTTACCATCACATAAAGCGCGTTGACATTGATTCTGTGTTAAACCGAAAGAGTTCCTAATTCGCCGTTAGTTTATATGCCACTTGAGTAGTTCAATAGAAGGAAAAAGCTTTTTAAAATAAGCAAAGATTTACACTTAATCACAGGTGTTGCGCTTTTTGCACAAATTACGATAAATATTTACACATCTACACACGTTTTAAGGATGCCCTTTTTCAAGAAGCACAAATCAGTGGCTAAACAATAGTGTTTGGACCGATACCTGTGCATGCTAATTTTATGTTGTTTTTTTAACTACCAAGAAAGTCGACTTCTCAAAATATACTATCTCTGGCTGCATGGAACACCTAGTGGTCCTATAAAATAACTACCTAAGAAATGTCATACGCTACTAAAATAATCGTGATAAAAAAGTGCCGGCATAGTTGAACATGTGGCCTGTCCGAACTGCCTAGATGTACTTTGCAGATTAGATATAAACAGGTCATACAACAGCAGCTTGAAGATGATTTTGGCCTGACCAAGCTGGGTATCGTAGACAATGGTTTCAAAAGTAGGAAAAGTCATACGCCAGTTGAAACGCTGAAGAATGCCACAGAACATGTAATTAGTGCTACCGTGTGGTAGTTTGTAAATTCACACAAGTATCAACGGTTAGTGGTTGTAGCATACTGGTTTACGGCCAAAAGAGCAGTTTTTAACAATAAGAACCTAAACAAGGCCAAATGGTTGGTGTGGCGAATAGTGACAAATCGAACCATCAATTCTGTTGAAGCATGTCCAGACATCTTGCTAATTCACCCCTCCTATTAATTCGTGTCTGTTCCTCCATGCCCTTCCCGCTGTTTATGCAGACGCGCCTGAGCACGTATGCATGTGTGTCCGACTAGTGAGCATCCTTGATCTTGTGTGAGAATAACACAAAACAACACGAGAAGATTGGGACGCACTTAATAAACGGTTGTGATTCCGTCGTCTGGTAGCTTAAACGGGCTTCAGCAATATAGTGGTCCCCGTGTGCAGAGCTTCTACCACTGGTGACCACTTGGTTCAACTGATGCTGCCGACAACTTCTGTCTTGTTTAGCACTGGGTACCCCAGAATTGATAGTTACTGAGGTAACGTAAGTTCACAGCCTTAGTTTAATGCATGTTTAGAATGAGAGACAAGAGATTTGCTAAAAGAATGGGCATTCACGAACATGATATTTATTATTTAAAAATTGAAAAATCAGATTAGAGGTGAAGGAGTCTTAGTGCAGCGCAAGTCATGATTTTTTGGCATGGTAATTCTGTTTCGATTGATGTTCTAATCCATAAGCTATGATTGAGTCAGTCTACTGAGACCGGTGGAGGGGACGGCTCACTTGCCAGAAATGATGTTTGCGTTACTCTATGCAAGATACGCTGTGCTGGCATAGCAAATCAAATAATAGACGGAGAGACAAGAAGAAAGTGAAGAGCAAAAGCCCATTGCTTAAAACGCCACAACCACCTTTAGAAGTTCCGTAACTACATCTGTCTTATTAAAATTAAGGATATTATTGTCTCGACTGCTTCGTGATTTTTCGTGAACGAAATAAAGTGCTAAAAATAATTACGGGATGCCAAAAAATCTGCTAAAACCCACTGATTTAAAACCAAAAGTGGCGAACATAAAAAGAAAGTGTCATTACCACTCGACAAAAGGCAGAAAGATGTTGTTGCAAAACATCACGTTGTTCCCTATTATAAAGCAGGAAACTTATATAACATTCATTTATTGAAATTGCAAGACGTCTGCAAAAGAAGTACATTAGCCTTCGTAAGTTTATCTCTAAGAAAGCAATAACTCACAGCTATAAGGATCTTCTGGTTCATTGTATAGAACAGAAGCATCATCAAGTACAACCATGCTCTATGGGCATCATAGGAAGCGTCCAAGAGTACTTAAACGACCCTAGCCCACAAAACCCCTCGATTAATATCACTTTAACCTCTTGGGTTCACTTTAATTTTTCTGACTAAGCCATGTGAGAATGGCATATTTAACGACGCCATTAGCTTATAGTGATAGTTGAGTCCGAAATTCCTAGGAGTATCAGGAACAATGGAGATGAAGGTGTTCTATCTGTATGCACAGCTTTTCGCCAAAGCTCCGACTAAATGCACTAAAATGTAACTTACCATCTTCGAATACCTTGTTTTTATGATCGAGGAAGGAGTTGTAGCACGAGATTACGATGGCCACAACCGGAATTTGTGCTTGAATGGCCAAATGAAAAGCGCCTTTCTTAAAGGGCAATAGTTGACCGCTGGAATTTCGTGTTCCTTCTGGAAAAATAAACATATTTACCTGCAAGGTAACTAAAAATAATTAGATATACGTGCTCGTGTTTGACCATCTCTGCAGCTTCACGCATAGTCGCCATTGCTTTGGTATGATCGTTTCTCACAATCGGTAGTATCCGCATGAAATGCATTAGTGGCCACGCAAGTCCATAGAATCTTAAGGCGTCTTTCACGATAGTTGACGAGGGTTCACGCCATAGGTCACAAAGGGCTTGATGAAGGAATCGTTACTGGATAACGTACATACCTACAGCGTCGATAAAACTCTGGTGGTTAACAACGTAAACACATTGACGAAATTTATAACAATTTTCCAGGCCGTATATCTTTGGTCGAAGACCAAGCGCCCATTGGGAAATGCGGAGAAGAGGTAAAGCCTCACTGCCAATGTGTAAGGCAAACGATATACTACTTACCTACTGTTTGAAAACGATGGCTTTCCCCTAACTAGAAACACGATTGTGTAGAAGACCGAGCCAAGGTTAAGTATTATTCCAAAGATAACATATTTCATGTAGTACCGCACGACTGGGATTTTATAAACAATGTAGAACCCAGTCACAAGAGAAACTGGAATCAAAAGCCAAAGTACGTCCATCGTTGATATCAAGATCTATAAGTACAAAAAAGCACTGTGCTCGGCATCCATAGAAGACCGGTGCCCCAAGTCAATTTTAATTTTTCCATGAAAATGTCAACCAACAACCGTGAACATCAAATCCAACGTAGCAAATTATTCAAAGTGGCCTAATAAGCATCATATCAAAATTGCAAAAATGTTTTTAGTAAGCCAGTGCGTCCGAATTTGAACAAGAAAATTCAGATTATTTGTAAACTAAATAAATGAAAACCTCAAAAATTCATTTAGTGGCCAGAGAATATTTGTCATGTGCGTTCTCTAACATGGGTGCTAAATTAATGAGCATGTTTTAGCAAATAAATCAAGTATATTAAGTTTATAATATTTGCATGGAACGAATAATTTTCTATATGCATTACAATTGCTCAAGCAACACAGTTAGGGTTTAAACAGTCGTGCTGTCCATAAATTGGAACATGAATATCAAGAAAGGCACAGTGCTGTATCCTCAAAATAAAAACTGGTAAAAGAATGAAGAGACGTTTTTAAGAGCAAAAATCAACGCGATTTAAAAATCAATTAATATAAGGCACCGCATCCTATGAACACATTTAAAAAGGCCGTCGTGAGTACAACTAGCATTAAACATTTGTTCAATTCGAAACGACATTACGCAGGATAATTAAAGTAAATATTTTTCACATTTCCAAATCTAAGAATTGATTGCAAAAAGTAGTAATTCACATTATCGTATTCAGAAGTTGCTGCTACTTTTAATTGTTGAAAAAAGCAAATACCTCATTACATTATTAAGCGAACGATTCACTGAAAGCAATATTAGGGGTTAAAACAGATAGCTTTTCACGTAATTTTACAAACTAGCAAGCACATTGAACTTATGTGATAAATTAACCTCCCTCACAGGTTGGTCCAGTTTTAAAAGAAACCAAAATATGTAATATAAAATAAATTAGTAGTATATTACATAGTCTTCGCAAGCGATTTAAAATATTCGAAGTGCTAGATGAAAATTTGTAGGAAAAATTGAAACCGGAAATACACTAATCAGTTTGAACTTCAATAAGACACCAAGCAAAATTGTTGAAAGTAATTTGCAATTATAATAGTCCTTATCACTTGGTTATAATATGCCAGACTTCGACGACTTAAAGTCTTAATATGTACTCAAAATATTTCTATGAAACTAGTCTAATCTGATCCTTTAGTACTATTCTAATTCCAAAATGTCGAAATAAACTCAAACGAAAAACGAGTAGAATAAAAGCACATACACGAATACGTACTGCAGCTTCAACATTCTAAAAAGGTTGAAAACTAAGTTACTTAAAAATCTTAATTTGTATTTAATAAAGAAAGTACAAAGCCCACGAAAATGACGAAAAAACAAATTGTTAATTAAAAATTCGTAAATGAGTACCTTCTGCCAAAAGTGCTTAAGCTTATACGTGTGGGTTTAATTTATTACAAAGTACGAAACAATGCCGTCTACATGGAATAAGACTAGCCATCGCGAAAACATAAAACGCCAACGGTGATCAAATTACCGCATAACGGATGGCGACCTTCACAAAATGGTTCCTCCAGTTAATTAAATAAAATCGTTAAAAAATAAATTTAATTAAAGTAAGCATTACAAACCTTTTAATATTCCGTAAAATTTCTAGCGTTTGAATATATTTAAAAGCATCTTTGTACATCATAATTAGAATGAGATTTTAATAACAAAGAAAATACCAGACATATTATTTCTAAATGTTTTAGTCTTTTTCACACCTACGCCAATTCAAGTTATACACTATGGTCCTATATTTCCGGTAGTGACAAAACTGTTAGTTGCCTTTCCGTTAATGGTTTCTATCAGCCACGCATCACTTCAAACGTTGCTTTTGATTCGAATCAAAAGACAGCGAAGTGAAGTTGTTTGAAAACTTTGGCCAAATTGAAGTTTCAAAATGTGACACATGGAAAGAACTTAAAGGCTACAACAAAGATTGAATTCTGCCAGCATTCCTTAACAAGGAATGTTGATTTTAATTATGATAAAGAAGGAGAGAATCGACAGATGTCTAAGTAATACGACATGGGGACGATAGGTACATATTTTTGCCCCTTGTTTTGGGGACATCCAGAAAAAATTCTGTAGTTGATGGCTAAATGTCTCTTTAAGGAAAAACTAAAAAGATTCAGCAGTTTGAAAACTGTGCGCTCGCAAGTTTTGTAGTTTCCAGTTCTCGCTTATTCACTTTTGAATGGAGAAAAAACTCCGTAATGCTGGGAACATTATTGAAGTGTGCAAAAAATTAATTGCCTTGGAAATTCTAGATTTTCAAGAGAGACCTAAGCATTAAAGTGCAATTATGCCAATTCAGCCATAACCACTTTTATTTTGGTAATGTTATTTCGCCGTTGCGGTTTCGGGACATGCAGTTCCGCCTTGCAAGGACTTTAAGCGTTTAAAATGATTTCTACTCTACAATGGAAATTTGGTGAGAGATTATGGCGAATATCCCTACTCACTTTGCAGGGTTTCAGCAAACGAAGTTAAACACTGGGATATTCTACGGCTTCCAAATAATACATTCATTTAATCTCTGGCTTCTTGCTGGCCTGAAACTGACCTGCAAGAGAGACTGAACACTCAAGCTCTACATCGCGAAGCCAATTCCACACCAACATTTAGGTAGAACTCGAGTTTTAAGTGCGGTAGGGTACCCCGGCGTGGCTCAATAAATGAAACTTTTCCCGGACCGCTGTCAAAAATATTTTCGTGGCATCTTTTAATAGAGGTACACCGCTAAGCTAAAATACACCCATTAAACTTGTGACTGAAATTAGTGCCGTTTCGAGAGTGCAAAAGGAAACAAAAACCTTCCGTACCGACATTTTATGTTAAAGGTGTACTACAAAATGTGTACAATCATTGTTTGATAACCGCATCAGTAATTTGTACATTAGGCAAAACAATCATGAAATTTAAGAAAGAAAAACGACAAGAGAATTCAGTCACTCTGACTTCTTTCGAAGGTCGTTGCCCAATTCTTCTCGTGAGGCCTTCACTGTTCTTTCATAAATCTCTGACATTGAGGCATAAGCTTGATCTACCAGTTCGTTGACTTGAGAAACCTCCATTCCGGTAGTGGGAATCGCAGGAAGTATATAGACGCCGAAGGGAACTATAGGAAAGTTAAAATATAAAGCATTTGGCAGACGTCTTTGCATGGTGGGAGAGAACGACGCCCGGAGTTTGAAGCCATTTTAGTAGTGAGGAGTAGTATCAAAGATACGTTAAAACAAGAATGTCTGTTTTTGAAACAGCCACATTGTCAAAAATGAAACTTCTTGAGTGAGTCAGGTTGGGCGAGCTATCGAAAATGGGTGGAAACTTCTGAAATAAAACATGTTTTTTAGAATAGAACAAAAACCAATAATTTGGACCTCGTTTAAGCAATGTATCTGAAACCTAAAGAATACCCTTATGGTAACTTGAAACACTTTTGAACCAGCATGAAAGCCACAAAGCAAATGTAAGTCTCCAAAAAACCTGATTAAATCACAGTAAATGCAATTCCTTTCGAACGAATAGAACTTAAACAGCCTAAAGTAGATTTGACAAGCGTTGCAAAGAGATCAATAATGAAAAAACCCATAGTACGCGGGAGTCTCCTAACAGGTAAAACGGCGACAGGTCACCAGCCTGCATTTTCAAAATAATAATTTAAGGAAATCCTCGTATCACGAGCCAACGACCACATTCGCAGTTGAAGTGCGGGAATTCCAGCTCATTTTGAGAATTTTACCGTTCAGAGTTGAGCCTACGAGACGTTTATTGAGTAGTGGTTGATGGATGATAATAATAAGAAACAACGCATATATCAGGAGGCTATTAAGTAGGTAGGGTTGGTTTACGCAGTGCAAATTCGTACATAGCCCACCTTTCGGACACGCTTCGGGACGCACTACTAAGAAGCAATGAAACATTAAAGTCAGCGCAAAATACGACCATTTGCACAGAGAATTCTCCATAAGTTAGGAAATTTATGAAGGAATAAAATTTTTGCAGGAGACGAACCTTCGCCCAACGTTGACAATGTCAATTACTCATATTTTTATAACTTGCACCACAAATACAGCCCGATTTACCTCAAAATGCTCCTTCTACCCACAAAATCACTGCACTTAATTCCTGACATAACTATACCGCTGAATATTTGACATTTGAACAGACGTGTCACCTACACACAAGTCCACTCGTGGGCGAAGCTGTTTGGTCTCGAAGAATGTTCGTAGTGTTATAAGTAAAGAAGACCACCACGTGAATGCTTCCCTGGGACGTCTACGTGTTTAGCTAAATATTGTTTGCTGTGAAGTCGATCAGTGTAGAACAGGTCAAATCCAAACAAAATACTACCCGGTGTGTAAATAAATAGTATCACGGAGGCCAGGAATACTGAGCCAAATTTATGACAATCCTAAATCGGTGCCGACCTACCTCGCACCAAGCTTGACTATCGTAGGCGAAATGGCAAAGAAATTTATCGAGGGACAATACGAAAAAATGACTTAGATATGCCACAGGCGTGAGTTAGATTTATTACCCAAGACGATCCACCACTTAGGTACAGCCAGGAGTTGTGGCGTGATTTCATAAATTGTACAAATAGTTCGAAATTGCGTCAACGAGCAACAAAAGGGTATTTGTGTCCTTAAGTTAAAAAATGATCACCTGGACTAAATGTGCACTTCTTGTGATCGAGGAAGGAGTTGTAGCAAGACACGACGATGGGTTGGATGGGCAGCTGGGTCTGAATGGCTAGATAAAAAGCACCCTTCTTGAATGGAAGCAAACGACCTGAGGCGTTTCGAGTTCCTTCTGGGAACATGAAGAGATTAACCTAAAAAAAGCGAGCTGGATAACCTAAACAAAATTCGGACACATATAGGCAAACGAAAGACAATCCAAAGCCAAACTTGCAAAACTAGGCCTTTCAGCAGTAGAATTAGTCTAATCTCACGCGATGTGCAACACATCGCTTTCCGAGTGTAGGTTACGTTGATGCACGCAAGGCATTTCTGGTAAAGAGGCTTGCATGTCTAAATGCGAATAACTTATGCTGCGGCTGTCAGGAATCTCAAGCGAAGAGGGAAACCGGGTTAGGTCAAGCGGAAAACAATAGCTGCTAGCAAAGAGGTGTTCTAGTCAAGGGGACAGTAAGGCTAACTCAATGGAGTCACAAAAACCCCTTAACGAACCTCATCTTTGACAATAAGTTCAGCTGTCCGATTCATTTCATCAATGGCCTTTTTGTGATCGGATCGGTGAATGAGAATGGTTTTGGTGTAGTAAAGGATGGCGCCTAAGGGACCAAAGTACTTGAGCGAGTTCTTTGCAATAACAGTACAGCGCTGATTCCAAATGTCCAAGAGTGCTAGAGCAAACAGGATAACATTGTAAAAATCTAAAGCAACACACCAGGGAACGCTACACCGAGCGGGATTATAGGGTAAAGCTCGATCAAAACTCGTGCAATGTGGGTTCGCATTATTTTAGGTCTGTCATAACTCCGACCTGGAAAATTGCGGTAAAATATCCAGAACATGTGTGTCGTTGGTAGGGTTAATTGACGGTTCAGTTGTCACACTGAAAGCGAAAATAAATATGGCACCACCCGCAGCTCAGTGCAGTAGGTGCGATTTAAATAAACGCTTTAGAGCTGATATTTACCAAAGTGCGGACATGATTTGAAAAAGTACGCAAGGCAGTGAAACTGCGTTTTGATGTCCTTGATTATAAACAGAAAGTGGTACTCGAATTTCAATCATTTATAACACAATGCTATAATTTTTGAGCGCACAACCCTCATACGCGAGGACGCATGTGGGAGAGGTAAGCGTGATAACTGGTGTCACATGGCAAACAGATAAGAAAACACATATTTTCCTGAGACTTGAACCCTTACTCACTGTAAATTTTATTAACGAAACGCGTATTCTAGGGTTTCATCAACATACTTCACGATTTTTCGTTTCTGAAAACAGCCATTCCACATAATGGATAGAAACTGAATTGATGTTACATACGCACAGATGCCTGCGTGGTTGAATATTTTTGGTTCATTAGAAGATTGAAGTGTGTAAGTGCAACCTTAAGATATCGAAGTATTTAACTAAAAACAGTTTTGTGCATTTGGTTGAACGTGAATAGATCTGCCCAGAATAAACCAGTCTATAAATGGCCATTTGATGCGTGGGTATGTATGTATGTATGTATGTGTGTACTACAAGGAACAGCGAGACTTAACCGAAGTTATGACAGACCTACAACAAAACAAGCATTGCGCTGGCTAAGCTGCTTATAGGCACGTATGCTGTCGGTTCCAGGATAATCCAGGTATCAAGGGGGGGTGAAACATTGATTAACAGCAAAGTACCCTTAAAAACACATAAGGCCTAGGAGTTAGGGGTCCATTTTTACTACCACGCACAGCAAAGTAGTTAAAGTATGGGCCGTCTAAAGCGTAACGCCAAATGTAATAAGGGAGAACAGAGTAACAAGATCAAAAAGTTGACCGAACACATGAGCGAACTTACACAGAACGTCGATAAAGCTCTGGTGGTTGGTAATATATACACACTGTTTTTCTGGATCGTAGGTTTCAAGACCATAGATCCGTGGCTGAAGACCGATTAGTGATCGAGCTAATCGGTAGACTTCAGTAAATTCCCTATGAATGAATCGGTTGGGACACAGAAGGAAAAGAAATTACCAACTATTTTCATAGCGCGGCTTCCCCTTGAGAGCAAACTTGATTGTGTACACCACGGAGCCAAACATTACAACAACTGCGTAGATGAAAAAGGCTAGAAAGTAGCGCAAGCGCAACCGGACGCCCCGGAAGATCATCGCAAAGAGAACAAGGCCCAGAATCACCTTCCAGTACATTATCTAGGGAAGGTTTCTATACATTAGACGGCAATAACAGAATGAATAACCAATAGCGTCACGGAGTAAAATTAATACACCCGGGTTAACGACCCCAAGACATAGATGATCAAATGTATGAATTTTCGTAATGAAAAGAACCTACAACTACAGTCATTAATAAAATAACAAACTTCAACGGCTAGTATGCAGCCGACAAATTAACTACAAGGGTGGTCAGAACGATTGGGGAAACCAGCAGTTAGTGGACGACACCCGATTCCTAATCAAACGAACACAGGTACTGGGGGTCATATAGCTTTGTAAAGCCCCCTACATTGATTCAGATTCATTTTAATAGAATAAATTAAAAGTTTTGGAAACCGAAAGGTATGATTAATTGAACATTATTACAAAGATGAACAATGTGTCCAACAGCAATGCAAGATACAACTGAGTTTAGAAGAGTAACATGTGGAAATGCAATAAGACTTGTACAAATACAAGAAGGGTTCGCTGTTTCAGAGTATGTACACATTAAAACTTTGTTGCAACAAAATTTCCTGCGTAACAAGACAGCGTTGATTAGACACGACGAAAGAAGTGTCGAGCACATTGGTATGCAAAAAACGGTTGCATAAAACTAGTCAAGTCATATATAAAAAAGATTTGGCAATAAAGCAAGTTATGCATGGGGAAAAGAGGCGACAAACCGCAACACAAGCTTGGTAACACCAGAATCAAAATATTACGAAATTCAAATCAGAGTAATGTGAACAAGAGATTTCTCAAAAGAAAAAAAGGGTTAAAACCAAAAGTTGTAAGTCATGGAAACAAGACGAGAAATCATAGATACTAAAATACCAATTATTTTGTAAATAGAACAAGGACATCGGTGAAGACAGAAGCGACCAATCACCATTAGCACAAGGTCAGTCACGATCACGCCGGCAAAAATTAAATTTTGGCATCAAAAAGGGGCCACATGAAAAACTTAAAAATACAAACTCTATATTTCTTACGCAAAATCTAATTTATAAAACTTAGCAATATGTATGTTTTTGTAAAGGAAAACAATTGAAGTTCAAAGATAAAAAACAAATATGTTGCAAAGTACGAATAAATGTAATTAAGTATTTTCGTTATGATTTGCATCAAATAAAATGACAATAGAAACTGCTCAGAAATTCGCAAAGAGGCACCATCGACGAGTTCAAATAGGTATTTCAAAGAATTGCTGCAATAAAATAGGACAGTAAATTATTGCAATCCAAATAAAAAATATGTAATGAAGTTCGCATTATTGTTGCTAAAAGCAATGTATCACATCCATATAAGGAGTTTTTGCAATTTTTTAAGTGAGCGTGAACTAACAGGAATTTTATCGATTAAGTTGACATTATTTTACCTAGATGTATTTGGTCAAAGATTGATTTTATGTGGTCATATAAAAAACTAACCGTTTCTTACACCGTATAACTGCAATATTATTGCAAGAATTAGTCGAATTACGATTATATTTGGCAACCAAAACCCCATTTGGCAATCAACTAAAATGGAGAGTGCAGATAATAATGCTCCCAATGACAGAGGAGTCACCTATTTAAGTTGCATTGGAGCAGATCCCACCAATATTATGACAATAACATAAAAGCAACACTTATTCCTACTTGACAAGGACAAAACTAAGGGACCTCCTGTCTCAGAGGTTCTTAATTCAGGGTATTTCTACCCCGAGGAAAAGTGGGATGTGATTTTCTTCCAAGCTAATAAGGCGAAATTGACCCAACACGTAAAGGTGACTGTGCAGTTATTCAAAACACCATCATTCACCATTTACTCGTTTTCAGTTGCATCCAATTTCCGTAAATGACGTTGCTAAAAAGTCTTTAAACAACCAAAACACATTTAAGCAACTCTAAAACATTCTTGTGCTGGAGTTCCATTAGTGTTAAAAACGCCTAAGAGAGAACCATTTGTTTGCATGTGTTCTTCATATAGTTACTGCGGTCAAACAGGTAAGTGGCAGCAGATCGGCAAGTGAGAGAAACTGATTTAAAAACTGCAATTAAGATCAATGACTAAATTTTGATAGTGTAAAACGGGTATAGCAAGAAAAACGATAGGTCTATCCACCACGAGAAAAAGTGGGATGCGTTTTTCTTTCACCCTAATAAGTGTAATTAATTTAAATCTTTAAGGTAATTGTGCAGTTAACCAGAACAACATTATGCACCAATTACTTGTTTTAACACATTAGAACTTGTCGTATTCAACAATTAATTTTCACCTCCAAAGCAACACAAAACAAAATCTGTTGCTTTGTTTTCGCATTAGTCAACAGGACTTGTGAGGACCACTAGAGTCACGTTTATAGTTCACATGATCAAATCAAATTATTCTAGATTGATAAACGTTTGCATGAATATTTAATCACTTTTTGAGTGTTGTTCCCATTTCAGAAGGTTTTACTGATGACATTGTATTTTAAACTGAGTTAAAGGGGTATTTGTAGTAGTTTGCTAATTGTGCTGAAGGCC